GAGTGCCGAGGCGTGCCGCGGTGTGTGCCGGCGTGCGTGCTGGAGTGCCGATCTACCGAATCGTAGTTTATGGCGTGTGCCCCGGGCCTGAGAGCCGGCCAGCTCCTTGGCTGCAGCCGAATCAATCGCAGCCGGCTGCATGCTCTCGACTCCAGTGAACACCGGGTGCGCCATGATGTTGTCCAATGCATTCCCCAATTCTGAAAGAATCTCTGCATTGCAAAGGTTCACCAGCTCAAGAGCCTGACTGTTGGCCGGGCCGGGCGTCGCAGCTTTCTTGCTTCTAGGCGGCATCGTGTGCGGCCAACGCAGACGTACAAGTAAGCTTGCAGCCGAAAGATGCTAAAGACAAGACTGCTCCACGCAAACAGGAAATGAATGCTCCGTGCAATGTCAGAGTACAGCAATCTGAACACTCCGTGGCAACTTTCAACATGGCACGTGCCCGAGAGCGACACTGCGAGCGCCAGCACCTGCCACGGGCGCAGCTCTGAATGCAAGTGCTACGTGACTGCCACAATTTAGCAACTGTCGCCTTTGTTCCCCCACGCCCCCGTATGAATCGGAAATAAAAAGCATGCACAGGAGATGCTCGCAGAGTCAATGCTCGCAGAGTCTGTCCGGCAACGGCAGACGCATCAAATTCTGGACAACGAGGCCCATGCACATCATGGCACATCCTAGTAAATATGTCATCTGCAAGATCTTAAACAAAAGTGCCTCGACAATCTCAGGTGCCGCAGGCGTTTCGGCGGGCACACGCCACAGACCGGGTTATGAGATCCTGGAAGCTTTGCTTCACGAAAACATTTCGCATCTCTAGAGCATCGTGCACCTCCGGTGTTGTCAGTGCCACCACTTCCAACCATCGACGCTTGTGGCTTGCAATCTGCGGTCCACAGCACCGATCCGAAGCTTCGGCAAACTCATCCCACGAAGAGAGGACTCGCCACTGGCTGCTGGATTTCGCAAGACTTCGTGTCAGAACATCGGCAAGGCCAGGCTCCGCAGACACGAATCTGTCACATATGTAGATTTTCCTGCGTGTCTTGATGGCGCAGTCGTAGACAAAGGCGATGCCTCGACCCTGCACATACTCAGCGTTCACGACACAGCCACCCTGCAGCCCAGCTGTCCACAGAACTTCCACGGGCGGGCTAGCTGGGTCCGGGACGACCCAGAACTCCGCTGCATGCATGGCAGCCGTGAGGCTATGGCCGGCCGGGTTGGCCAGCGGGAGGCACTCATTGTCCACGAAGACAAGTCGCCTACCGATGGCCGGAGGAGCTGTGGCCATCAAGGTGTGCTTACGAGCAGTTCTCGTCGTGCGCTCCCGGTCGACTTGCGAGCGACGATCAAGATAGTCTTCGATCACTGGCAGCATCTCGGGATCAACATCGTCCTCCAAGACCGCATCGTCCAGGTAGGCCTGGATTTTGTTTTTGTGCTGCTTCGCAGCTTGGAAATGCAGCTCTGCCTGCACTCGCTGATCGACCAGCATGCTCTCCTCCACATCTTCGAGGGCCTGCTGCCGGATCTTCTCACGGTTCTCCAATGTGGCCGCAGAGTGCGTCTGTTCACGGCGCTTCTTGACGAAAGCTTGTTCACCGCAGTCCTCCTGGACAACACTTTATAAGACCACAAAAAAAAGAGGGCGCATCAGGCAAGCGCACACCTACACGACGTGC